AAATAAACAGGCACAGCATTCTCACTGAAATTGTAGTTTTTTTTTATTGTAGTGTAGGACCTACAAACACTTGTCTTTTTCTTTTACCCGCAACCCCCATGTAAGGCTTTGTGACCCCCTGGGGGTCGCGACCCACAGGTTGAAAAACGTTGGTGTAGAACAATGGTCTGATTTCATCCAGTGATATCCCATTCAGGAGCAGCATAAAGTAATACAAATAAAATCATTGATTGAAATAATTTTATATAAATATGAACGGAATTAATTTTAGCTCTAGAAAGAATTAGCCACATAGAACCCAGTGCCATTTTAGCCTTATATATAATTTTTGGCCTGTAAAAATAGCCCAGAAGTCAAAAATATAACTCCCAGATATATGTAATATAAGGTAACTTGTAAACGTTGGTTATTAAGAAACCATCTTTCTCTGGATGATAGTCTACTGCCATTCTTAAATAACATTACTTTAGTTTTTAAAATGTTTATAAATAATCCATAGTCACAACAAAATTCCTCCAAAATTGCAATTGTCTTTTGCAACATTTGTGGAGTATTGGCAAGAATTGCAGTATTGTCACTTGATCAGAATGAGAAATTCCCAGTAATTCAGATTTAGCAAGTTACACTATCAAACCATTAACATATAAGTTAAAAAACAGTGGGCTCAGAATGTCAACTTGCAAAACTCCAATATCAATGTCAGATGAATCAGTCATTTCTACTAATATCAAGCAGCAGTGGCAAGCAGTGATATTTGATGATATGGAAGCTGTGTTTCCATAAAATTTATAAACAAATACTGGAAATGACAATAATACACAGTTTATTTATTTTAATTTTAAAATAGATACATTGACATGAAAGAACAATATAAGAACTTGTTTATGAAAATAATTGCATAATATGTATTTATATTTTAAAAAATACAACGGAAGAGGTGCTTCCACAGCTTTCATGGACTGCACATCCCTGTCATGCAGTAGCTTTCGAATATATATCAACGATAAGATCAAGAAACTGTTTTATTCATGACCATTCTTTCTAATAGAGACCATAAAACTTTCAATCTGCCTTTGATACTGTTAATCATAAAGTCCATGAAAACAGCATAAAGTTTCCCTCTCTTTTTCCATAGCTTTGATTGAACCAATGCATTTAGTAAAAATATTAGTAAAAATATGTATATGGGAGCAAGCAGGTTTTCAGACTGGCCAATCTTGACAAGATTGGCCAGTCTGAAAACCTGCTTGCTCCCGAAACAAAATATTATACTTAAGGATTAAATTTTCTAGTCTTATTTAATAAAGATGTAAACAGTTTCCCAATTACAGGAACTAAAGATAGAGGATGATAATTTTTGAGATCATACACATTGTCTTTTTTATATATTGGAATAATCAAAGATTCAATCAATGCTTCTGGAAAACTACAATTTCTCTTAACAGAGTTAAAAACTTCCACAATTGTAGAAAGGAACTTTTCTGAAAGACACTAAATATTTTGTTCTAATAAAATCAATTCCATCAGCTTTAAAACAATTAATAGCTCCTTTTATCTTGTCCAATGTAAAATATTTTCTCTATTGAAAACACTTTGTACACATCCATTGACAATTGTTCTTCATTAATAATTAAAGATTGTTCTTTAGAGAATTTAGCAGAATAAAAATTGAATCATCTTTCCAAGGTAATTCTTAAACTATAACTTGATGCACTTTTACATTTAAAACTATTAGTTGTTTGCCAAAATTTTTTAGAATTATTGCATGACACCAATCTCCTATTTAAATTCCAAAAATAAGACTGTTTTTTCTTTTGTATAAGATTTTATACTCTTTCAAATAGTTTTCATAGAAAGCACAATGTTCTACTGTGTTTAACTTTTCTGTCCTCTTAAACAATTTCCACAGATTTTTTTCTCATGGTGCAACATTACACACTATCACACAATACATTTCTTATACGGTTTTTATGAGGAACAGATTTAACGTTGTGAATTAAGTCCAGTGACATTGCTGCTTTAACTATACAATCCACTAGATGTGAGGTTTCCTCCATATTCTGATAAAAGATTATCTAGTGTAACAGCAAATGAATACAGTAGAGCGTCAATTATCCGAAAGTCAATCATCCAAAAGAATTCCAGTCTGCAAATTTAAATTTTTGCCAGTGCTGTGGTGCTGCAATCTTTGGCTATGTCTTGGGCTACTCAAATATTTTACGTTTTTTATACTAAATTAACTTCTGAAGTATAATTTTTTATTGTTTTTATATTTTTCAATATATTTATTTTGTTCGTACAAAATAAAAAATAATTTTTAACGATACAATAGTCTTCGTTAGGCTTAACATCGACGAAAATTCAACGTGAAGTGACACGCAATGGAGAAAAATGTCAAGATGGGATAAATTAAAATATTTTTTCGTACATAATCGGTTATCCGAAACATCGCTCTTCCGAACAACCCCAGTGCCCAATTGATTCGGATAATCGACGCTCTACTGTATTTAAATTTGTCCTTCCATACTGCATGTTTATCAAAAAATTGTCGGTTAGCAACTCTGGATAATACTAAGGAATTATTGATATTAAGACAGGTACGTGATCAGAACCTCTCTCTGAAAACGCACAAGTCATTTATAATATAAGAATATATTTCTTGTGACACTATGATGAAATCAATTACAATGCCTCCCTTAGTTGTATGAAAGATAAAATTACAGTCTTCATCCTTTGGCACTAAACATTTAAGCAAACAAGATTATTAACTGATAAAAAGAATTATCTTCACAAAAATGGTAGAAAATTGAGAATTTTCCCTCTATCATTAACATAGGAATCTTTTGAAGCTATCAAAGAAATTTGCCAGCCATCAGTGCAACGTAACAAATAATCAGAATGTCCCAATCTTTCATTAAAATCTGCACATAAGATCAAATTATTTCCATATAAGTAGTAGTTTTCTATAAACAACAAAATATTCTTGAAATCATCATCATAATTATTGTTAGGCAGAATATATGACACTCTTAGCTGGATATTGGATAAGTCTTCAGTATCTAGTTGTAAAACCAGCAAAAATGTGACTGAAAATATAAGTTTAACTTCAGAGAATGTGTCTAGTCTGACAATTAATCCACCACTGGGTCCTCCAGGACCCTCACAACTATATGCTATCTGATGATAAATTTTATAATCATTAGAAAACATTAATTAAATTACAAGAGAAGTATACCATGTTTCTACCACACAGAACACATCCATTCTATATACAGTATTAGATTCCAGAAATTAGGAAAGCAATACTTATTATTTAAATCTGCAATATTATAAAATAGAATTTTCATATTATCATTATTATCCAAGTACAGAACATTATATTTGTCGTCTTTGTCCTTTATATCATTGTAAACTATATTGCTAAAAACAATTGTTTTCCATCTGTCTGGATAATTTCACCTTTGTAATTACATGCAAATGTCTTATTGTCTATGATTAATCTGTTGTATCGCAATTTAACATTCCTAGCTCCTTTTGAACGCATTTCTTTACCATAGAGCCTTAATTTATTTCTTATAGTTCTTGCATTTGTTGAGTAGTCATTGTTAATGAATATATTTAAACCTTTTAAATTACTAATATTTTTATATATTTTTAATTTATCTTCATAACTGATCAACTCACAAATAATTAATCTTTTCCCATTTGGTTTATATTTTCCAATTCTAGAAATAAGCTAAATATTCACAACTGTAACCTATAAGTTATTGTTAAACCTTTATCCATTTTATTGTTATTCTCTATACCCGAGATTACAATATTTCTTCTTTATCTTCTAATCTCTAACTTTTCATGCAAGTTATTACATATTGCATCAATTTCCACAATTGATTCAATACTTTTAACATAACCTTTTTCTCTCTCAGTTTCAAGGGCAGAGAGTTGTAATTTACTATTTGAAGAAACTTGTAATTTCAACAAAAGTCAAATTTTTTCTTGAATGTTAATCTCCTATTCGGCACTTATATAAACAAGACCAGCTGATCCATTGACTCCCAACACATTCTCTTTGCTTCCCATTCATTTTCTTACATTTCATGGCTATCCATCAATGTAATGGCAAAAAAGTTTTCCTTCCCTGAGATGAGAATTCTGTCATTTTCCAAGAAAAAAACAAAAATGAGTCAAATTACAAAAAAGAAAAAATTATACGTCAACAGCCACAACAGTCAGACAGCACCCCCCTACTGTTTGTATATAAACTGTAAATACTTGCGAATTTTAGTTTAATTTAAAATTTAAATATTTAACATTAAACCACAGCTTTCTATACAAAGAAATATGATTTGGCATATGCCATGCAAAAATCCTCCACTGCCACACAGAACATAGGCAATGATGTATGAAAATAAAGAACAAATTGTATCCTTTCTCATTTCAATAAAGAACAAGAATACTTTAGATAAAAGAAAGTATTCTTGTTCTTTAATAAATGTTTAGCAAAGAATGTGTAGTAATGATAAGTTATTTAAAATAGATTTCATAAAACTAAGTAATTAAATAATCTTATTTTAATATTAATTATTTTCTTTATATTTTAAAAGTTCTTTATAATTAGTATATAACTGTATAGGTATTATCATTATATTGTTGTAGGCCTAATAAATTTAGTAAAGACAAATCTATATTTTATTACTGTGTTATTCTTGAAGTGGTCTGAGATTAAAAAGTTTCCAGAAAAGGTTATGTAAATATCTCACAGTTCCAATAACATATAGATCTGTGGTTGTTGTTCTTAGTTTTGTATAAAATGTATGCAATGTTTTAATTAAAATAAAAACTGTTTCTTGATGTAACACTAATGAAATTGCTTGTTAACTTTGATAATATTACAATGAATTCCACAATGCACTAATAAACTGTTTATTTCTTTCATATATAATAAAATATAATAATTAATTAAACTCAATATATGCTTTTAATATAATAAAATTACTTACTTTTTGGTCTTTCTGGTGCAGGTTTTCCAAGTCCAGAAAAAGGAATATCAGACCCCTGTTGAATTTTACGATACCATAATTTTTGTTGCTGAGGATCGAGTGATGATGATTTTCCACTTCTTCTGAATAAAGTCGAATCAGACTCGTATCCGTCTCTATATACACTATGTTCAAACATTCAGTAATGATGAAATACAATTATTCGTTAATTTACTAATCAGAAATAATATTTTTAGAATATTAAGAACATCTAGTTCCTCACAAATATAGTTATTAACAAACAAATACTCTTTTAGTACTAAAAACAAAATACAGTAGAGCATCGATTATCCAACTCAATTGGGGACTCGGTTTGGTCGGATAACTGAAAAAATCAGATAACCGAAAAGAAGTAAAAAATACATTATTAGTATAGTATATTAGGATATTAGTATATCCCATGTAATTAGTTTATTAGTATATCGCTATTAACCAACTTTGCGTTGAAATTTCATCGATGTTTAGCCTAACAAATTTTTTTTTTTAAATAATAATCATTGCTATTGTATCGTTAAAAATTATTTTAAAATTATTTTATTGCTCACGAAACAAACAACCACTCATAATTAGAAAATTAAGTCTCGTTTAAATACTGGCCTCCCTTCAATGGTCGAGCCAGAGATGCCAGCTAAAACACGCAAAAATTTAACAAAAATAATATTAAAGCAGCAAAGACATAGCCAAATATTGTAGCACCACATCACTAGTGGACATTTGAAATTTGCCGACTAGAACGGTCGGTTAACCGATGTGACAGTTAAACGGGGGTCAAATAATCGATGCTCTACTGTAGTTACATTTCAAATATTAATAATTAATTAAAGCATTTATTTACATAATGTGGGTAAACCCAAGTTACAAGGGATGTACTACAATCGAAATAGATTAACATATAAATATTAAATCAAATGATATTAAATTTAACTGTGCATAACATTTCTTACATAATTTGGTAAAAATTATACCATTTTTACAAAAAATAGAACTTGCTTAACTCGTCAATGGGAATTAAGGGGTTAAAAATTAATTGCTATCATTCTTCCTTTTATTTTTTTATTTACAATCTTTGAAAAAGGATAAGTCACTGTCTCTCTAGCAAACTCAAGTCATAAATTTTTTAAAATGATACAAACATCTATGAAATAATGATCATAAAAGTTCCATTTTACTTTACTAATATGATATTCACTTGTTTAATTATAACAAATTAGTATGAAGTTTGTTGCTGCTTGTTTGAAATAAGTTTATGGATTCTTGGCTCTTTTCCACAAAAGATGACAAAAACACTCATATTATTTATTGTTGATTATTTATCAATTATTTATTAGCACTATTATTTATTGATAAGTCATTTCATATTTGATTTAAGATTCAAATAAGAAGCCCCCAATGAGTGAAGAAAAGCAACCAAACATTTTGTATTTCTTTCATAATAATTTGCGAAACCTTCAGTCAATCAATGTCCAAATTTCTCCACAGACCACCAAAATTTTCTCATGGACCATCAGTGGTCCACACACCCTGCTGGGATGGATTACTTGAATACCAGCTATGAAATTTTACTTGTATAAACTATTTTTTGTACTTTTAAGTTATTATAAATATTAGACATTAAAACAGATTGTCCATATTTCCAATTTTATTCAGAACTATTAAACAGAAGATAAGAAACCCCCTTAGTTGGCTAGCAGGTGGCTAAATTTAATCTTGTAATTGCATGCTTTTAAACAATTCTCCTGAATTGTTCAAAAGTGTGCAATTCCAATTCCATCTACAGCCTGATGATGTCAAATTGAATGTGGATGAAAATGTTTGTGTGAAGTGTAACTGAAATTTGTTGGTATTTATGCTTTTGTATCAGTTTATTTATTGCAAAGGAATTGTTGAAATAGATTTAACTACATATTAAATGTCAAGTATTTTTATTTTTTATTATAAATTATGCACATTTTTTGCAATAGTTAATTTTTAAGCTACATTTGCCACAAACAAATTTTGCACTTATTACAGATATTGTGAGTTTTATTCTCACATGACTTTGCTAAATAAATTTTTCTTTTCTGTTTCTCTGTTGTTTTTGTCTCTTTTCTTTTCATTTTGATCTGATCTTCCTTCTTGTTTTTTTGTCCATTTTGTTCTTTTTCTCTGAAAATTTAGCCGATTGTAGTATAAAATTTCTCCTTTTAATTTTTTTTCAATTATTGCATTTATATCAGAAGGTCTAATAAATTGTAAAAAAAAATGTGCTGGTTTCTTTGTGATGATGCTTTGACAATGTATTTTCTAGCCTTCTGATCAGTTACATCTGTGACAGTATGCCATAGTTTATGTTAATTTTTTTCTCTTTCCCTGTACTTTTTGTTCTTTGTCTCCTTCTACTATTTAAAATTCTCATTCTTCTTTCCTGAAGGGAAGTCTGTCAATATTGAGGAAATACCATCCTTTTGTTCAAGAGAACCAGTCATGAGAACCAGTCAAGAGAAGAGCATGCAGTGTATCAACTAGGGAATTCGATCCCGGTCCTTATTTCTAATCCCAGGATTTCGGGATTATACTTATTCAATCCCGGGATCCCGGGATTATTTCGGTATTGANCCGAACAAGGAGAACACACACTCATTTTCAACAGATGTTGGTTTTATTGTGTTTAAAGCTTTATAAAGTAGTTCCAAACTTTCAGTACATTTTCCGATTTCTTCAAATAACTGGAACTCCATTTTTAATGCTGCCCTTGATCTTTTTGCAAAAATTTTGGGTACAGTTTCTTTGATTTTTTTAATTGCCTGTTCCATTTGACTTTGAAATGACTCATTGGGTTCGTTGTATACTGTAGAGCTACTGGTACTGGGTTCAGCATCTATTATTTCCAAATCTGGCGTTTGGATACAAGGGATATTTTCAAAAAGTCTGTAATGCAGATCTTCCGCAAAAGCAATAAGTGCAGTTTTATTCAAATTCGAAGTAAAAAAATTCCATATTTTGCGACTGAGCTGTGGTGGCCAGTGTACAAATATTTTAACAAACATTTAACAGAGTAAGGTTAAAAGTCACACAGCCTTGTAAATTATCCCCACCTGTATTGTTTATTTGTAAACAGGAGGGAGAACAAAGGAAGCATCGCTTGGCTAACCTTTTGAAAATAAAATTTCAAAAATACAATTTCGATAAGCATGTCTTGAGTCTTAACCCGAATGTCCTGGGACCTGAGACAATTAAATTTAGAAAAAGTCCCGGGACTTCGAGACACAAGACGTCCCGGGACACAAACCCTAGTGGAAAATTTGTCATGGTATACCAACTTTGCAGTGTCTGGTGATACTGTAAGTAGTGAACAAGAAAATAATTGAGTCTGAAAAGCTAAAACCAAATCAAATTTATAATGCCAATAAAACTGGTCTTTTTACAACATGCTACCAAAAAAGACCTTAGCTTCAAAATTAGAAGATTCAGCTAGAGGTGGCAAAAAAAGCTGAGAGAGGATCACACTGCTTGCTTGCAGTAATGCTTCAGGGAAATATAAATTACCCTTTGTACTGGTTGGAATATCTGTTAAGCCACATGCTTTAAAACATATAAGCATTTCTTCTTTGCCAGTTGTTTACAAGTCCCAGAAATGTGCTTGGATGAATAGTGCAATTTTTAAAGAATGGTTTTTTTCACAGTTTTGTGCCAAGTGCACAAAGTTATTTAAAATGAAGGTTTGCCATTGAAAGTGATTAGAAAAAGCAATATCTTTATCTAATAACTTTGTATTGTTGTATACTTGCTTACAGGAGAATTCAATAAAACTTAAAAATAAAAACCATTCAACTATCCAGCATAATTCTTTAATAGCATAAGAACGTTTTCAAACGCATCAAGTGCTCATCATCATCATCAAGCGTTTATTTATTAAATACACGGAAATTTGTATATATCATTTTCGTTTATAATATGTTACTTTTTAATTTTTTTACATAACCGTCTATTTGAAATTCGATTGCGTAATTTTTCGAATTTCCCATTTCAAATTAGAGAAATAACTGATGATGGACGCTTAATGCGTTTGAAAACGTTCTTATATTATTAAAGAATTATGCTGGATAGTTGAATGGTTTTTATTTTTAAGTTTTATTGAATTCTCCAGTAAGCAAGTATACAATTATTTATCGTTTTAAAAAATATTTTTATAAAATTTAAAAAGACAAACTTAAAGAATAAAACAAAAATTAATTTTTGGATATATTATTTATAATGGCAATTTAATAAGAACTTGAGAATTAGCTAGGTCCTAGAGATAAAAAAACATCATAAAAAAATTTGAAAATAAAAACCATCAAATGACCAATCTGGGCATTCTAATGTTAAACAAATAAAAAAAAAATTAGCAATCTATAATACTAAAGATAATTGATAGTCTCACTTCAGCAGCTGCTGAATGGCAGAGCAGTCAAGGTGGCAGCCTACTGCTCTGGGGAGACCTGGATTGAATCCGGACAGGTTGAAAAATTCCCAGGAATTTTTTGGGGATGGTCCATCCGGATATGTCGGGCCCGATCCCTCGCCACTTGGCCACCTCATTGTGAGTGTGGCCAAACCCATAATGGGCTTGCTAAAAGAGAACCTCTTAGTAACCACTGGGTGAAAAGAGTTAAAAAAAAAGGGCCTCACTTCAGCAAAAGAACCATACCTGATCAACCTATCTTTGCAGAGACTGAACTTTCTTCCTAAGAACTTCTACAAGCATTATATTATTAATTGTTCAATCAGAGCTTCAAATGCATCAAAGCTCTGATGCATGTCCCATTTACAGAAAGCAGAAAACCTGAAGCAGAGATCCAAAGAAGCCCAAAAACATTTGTTTACCCATAAATTTTTGTTGCTGGACACCCAAAGGTTTTATGAGTTGTATTATTAATTTTAGGTTAATAGTTTCATGCCTTGCATATACTGTATGTAATCTTTAGATATTTCTAATTTAATTTTTATTATTTTATTTTGCTTTTACTTCTACCCATGTGAGCCAGTCATTTTTTCTATGCTTGAATTTTATTTAAATGCTTAAATGAACTTTTCCAATGTTCTTGTCTGATTCAAAAGCATAGATCTAAAAATGAAATAAAGAAGTTCCAAAAAATTTTTTATCTATCAATAAATATTAATTCCTATGCTAATATCTCTGCATTTTTTTATGAAGTTGGGAGATTCCTTCTCTATTCTGTTTTATTATCTTATATATCTTATAATTATATTTACAATGAAGTGTAATAGAAAAATGTTTTAATGTTTAAGATGGAACTTTCTAAACTGCATACCAGTAGGGGTTATAATTTCAATGGCTTCTCCATAGTCAGAGCCACCATAACACATCCTGCATCTCAGGCATTGCCTAGAGGTGGCAGGTTCGAAAAGGCATTAAAAATCAAAAAATATATATATACTAAATATATGGTACTAGTAGCCTGGGACGACCCCTAGTGGGTGTTATTTACAAATTTCCATGAGGCACGGTTCCTTTGACTTTTTTGTTAAGATATAAATGCTCTACAGCTCTGTCAAAGTCCCAATTTGCTACATTTGTCCTAGAATTGTGCCATACTTTTATTCCTACAACAATGAATGCNATTACAAATATACTGAATTATTTATATTGTTATATTGACCAAATAATAATTTATGGGCCGAATGAATAATAATAATTTATATTGTTAATTTAAATAATAATTAAAATTGTTAATTTGAATGTTTGAAATATGACACACGATAGGGGTGCCTCTAGTGTCCGTTATCAAACGGTTACGGGACAGACGGACACCTGTTGAATGGGTTATATATATAGATATTTTATTTTTTTATACTAATTTCAATTTCATAGAAACGTTATACTTATCAGATATCAGACAACAAATGAATATGTAGTGGTTTATATTTCTTCTCTTTTAACGTATTTAAAGCAGAGATGAATCTAGAAAATATGTCTATTTTGTGTTCCTTTACCTCTATAAAATATATTGAATTAAAATATCTTTTTATGTGAAAATGTTTTTTAAAACATTATTTAATCTTTGTTGGGAATGGCAAACTAGCATTCCTTAAAGCGGCTTGTGCCCTTGAAGAAGCCACATCCTTAGTCACAGAATATACTGTAGGATAGGTTATTAGAAGGTTTTATTCCCATTCTATCATTTTTCCTTCTTCATTTGATGAATAAGTTGTAATATTACACAGAATTTTTCTTTTAATAAGAATTTGTATATGCATATACAAACATCCCAAAGCCCAATATTTTAGTATTTTAATTATTTAGAATTTAATTTAAAATAATAGCAGTCAAACAGCATGATTAATCTTGCAATGGTTTGATTTAATTCATATATGTTCGTTAATTCTTTTATCTAGTTAGCATTTAAAAAATATAGTTTCTATAAATCAGATTTATAGTGTGTTTTCTATCTTTTAAATGTATTTCATAAATTTCAAACTTATAAACAATGTTTTTAATAAAATCTTCTCTACACAATAATACTATATTCAAGTTAAACTTACTTAACTTGAATATGGTATTATTCTGTATAGTAATATTATGTAACTGTTGAAATTTTAATACTTACTCATAGCACTAAACTTTTTGATTAAAAATGGTACCTCGTCGTCATCATTTATTTTATTAAAGGATTCTATAATAGTTTCTAAAGATTTTCAATAAAAAAATGATTTCTTATAGAAAATCCTCTTTCATAGACAAGTATACTTTTACTTTAAAATTAAATAAATACTTATATAAAACTTGTAATTATGAAAAAAATTCATTTTTATCATCAAAACGTTATTGCTTCAGAAACTGCTGCTTCTAAATTTGTAAATGATGGTTGCTGAAGCAGTTTGCACTATCTTTGAATACCACAGTTCAAACGTTTGTTTGCTTCTGAAGACAACTCTTTATAGTTGAAAAAAAATGCATGTAGTTTTTTTCTTTTTGGCAGTTTTGTTCTGAGTAAACTTCATAAAATGGTTTCTGAAAACAAAAGAAATGTTTCATCCTTTGAATTTTGTGATTTTTGGAGCAGTTTTGAGTTTTTGCCAGTCTCAGTACTTTTGCTAAAATTTTGTGCATTTTCTATTTTCTTATTTCCTTAACATATTTCAAGCAGAGTTAGTCACTACTGTTTTTTGCTTTAACAACATTGTAAATAAAATTAATACTAAATTGATATTTGATAAACATTATATAATAAAAATGGAGATTTTTTAAAAATATTTTATAATATTACTATTTAGTTACCAAGCAAAAATATTCAAAAAACTTTATAAATCATACTAATACAAAACTTACTATGATGGTTTTGGCTGATCCAATGGTGGAAGATATTTGATCTTCTGCTGTAACAAAATTTTAAAAATCCTTATTAATATTTAAATATAAGAATTGTTTACATTTTCATGAAACTCAATACAAAATAGATTTAATTTTTGAATTTCACTAAAGCTAAAACTGCATTATTTAAAATACATTGCTCACAAAAATTAGAAGATATTTCAAAATGAATATGATGTGATAAAAAAAGATGGACAAGATGCACATAGTGGACCTTGCATTATCATCCATGAAAAGAAAGTTGTTTCCAACTGTTCCAGCATAGGGTCCATGCCAGGACCTCATCTTGATTTCTGACAGCAGTCAGCAATCTGTTTCTGGTGTTGTGGAGATCGGTATGACCACCAATGCTGATGCTAGTCAACACTGTGATTCCACCACCACCAAAGGAGTACCTTTTTCGCATGAAACATGTATTCTCCTGTGTTCCTTGTAAACACCAGATCAGGACACAATGATTGTCAGGCTGCAGACTGAACCATAACTCATCAAAAAAGAGGAAAGTTGACCATCATGGGTCCAATGATGATGCTCATCAGACTGCCTTCTATGAATTTCTATTATGTTCAGCAGATAATGGAATGCATACCATTGATCACTGGGAATGCAGTCCAACATGATGCAGTCAATTTCGTATAGTCCGGGTGTATATCCATTGTCTAATGGCAGCAATGTGCTCCAAAGCAGTGAAATTCACCTACTCCAACTTCGCTGGGCTTTCAATTTATATGTAGCTCAGCTATGTTTCCTTTGTGCTTAGATGATCTGCACAACAGCAGCATAATCGACATACCTCAACCTTCGCTGGGCATTCAGCTTATTGATGGCTCAACCTTGTTTCTTTTCAATGAATATACACAACTATCTTCAAACTGTTTATAGACGTGTGTAGTAACTTTCAAACCACCAACTTTTATAAGAACTGTTCTGAACACTGATTTTACTTGGGTCCAAGTGATATTCACTGACACATAAAGTTCTGCTTAGAACTAAAAACTTTAAAGTACACATCTGCAATGTACTCCAAGAGCTGTTCTGCACAGCTATGAACTACTAAGCATTTATTTATGTATTTATTTATTTTCTTTTGTTTATCTGAACATTATAATTCGTTTTGACAATTTTATTTATCCTAATATACATCATAAGCGTATTTAAAATATAACTTATTTACTCATATTGTTTATTACTATTTGTATATTATTGTATATGTATACAAATATTGGTACCTATATATATTTAAAAATATGTTTAACTTCCTGGTAATGCTTTAGCGGGGCTGGGACATGTACCAAGTACTTAAATAAAAATGAATGAATGAATGAATGTCTAATGGCAGCGAGCAGTGAGGCGGCACTGCATCAATGTGAAGTGAAGTGGAATTTTTCAGCTCTTGGATTTTTAAGTTCTTTTGATGAATTTTAATTATTTGTACTAAGTGTTATATATTTTATGAAAGCGTTTCTCTTGGGGACCAAGAATTCGTCAAGTTTGTTAAATTTGGACGCTCCATTACAAAGTAACACTCTTTTAAAATTTTGTTTACTTTTCAGATTTGATTTTCCAAACATAAACCGATTAATAACCAGAATCAGATATTATGGGTTGTCCGCAATGCTAATGTGAGTACATCTTCCAATTTTTGGGGTTCTGGGTCCAGTACTTTAGAAAATATCAACTACTTCCAGTGATTTTTTCGGCACCCTGTAACTTCCTTCTGGTGGGCTATTTCTGAAAGATATTCGGGTAATTCTTAGAAGACGTAAAATGTAATACTCTCTGAAAATTTTATAACCATAGCTCTTATAGTTTTTGAATAATGGCAATTCTACGATTTATTCTAATTTCAACTTTTCAATCACCATAGCAACTGTAATCGATGTTTTAGTCAGAAACTTTCTAGAACAATTACAGGAAGTTGCATTTTCTACATTTCTATACATAATTTCAGACATATTATATATTTTTAGAATCGTCTTGAGCCAAAATAAACGATACAAATGTTTTCAAGTTAATTGAATTAATATTTTACTTTAGAATAATTTTAAACCTAACATTCTGAATTAATTAAATAAATATCTTATTTCATCTTTGTTCCATATGGAATCGGAGAAAAAATTATTTCATGATTTTGCTAACAGCATTCTTGATGAAATAGAGTTATTCACAGAGTAACCTTAAAGGTAGACTTGGGGTGGAGTGCCATTTGACTTATATCTTGACACAGTTTAACAGAGTGATTGAACACACTGAAGCAGTCTTTGAGAAACAAAGATTGTTTGAAAGCTTGGATCAAAGATTTTCTGTTATACCAACTAAGGAGGACATTAAAGAGATTCGGGGTTCCCAGGAGAAAGAATCAATTAATATTCTGAAAGATATTCTTCAGAAATTGAATAATTTCGGAAAGCAACCATCTGACGTACATACAATTGAAAGAAATGCTACTTATCCTAGTTATAAAGATGCATTAAAACAAGGTAATATATTGTCTAATATTGTTAAAGCTCCGCCTGAATTAGCACATACAGTCTTAGTGTACAGCAATGATGAGAATTCAACATCTGACCAGACAAAAAACAACTTACTTCAAAATGTAGAGCCTCACAATATTGGAGTTAGAATAAAACGTGTTAGAAAAAATAAATAATGGTGGAGTTGCTGTTGATTTAAGTTATCAAAAGGATGTTGTGCACTTCAAAGAGTTTGTAGACAGATTCCCAGATTTAACATCCCACATGCCTAAAAAGAGATTGCCTTTAATCAAAATAGTGTCCGTTCCTTCAATTGTTAGTGAACAAGAACTTATTGAAGATATATATGAACAGAATACACATTTGTTTGAAGATATTTCTTTTCGTGTATATGCTGAACAGATTAAAGTTATATTCTCCTTAAAACAAAAAAGCGATGAATATGTTTCCTGGGTGATAGAAGTGTCTTCTGATATAAGAAAAAGAATTCTTAAAGGAAAGAAAGTTCATATAAGGTGGTCAACCTATAGTGCATATGATTATATTCCAATACTGCAATGTTTTCGATGTTTGTCGTTTGGACACATAGCAAAAAATTGCCCTGCATCTGAGAACATATGTAGCCATTGTAATGAGAACCACTTGTTTAAAGACTGTACCAAAAGACATGAAACACCAAAATGTGCAAATTGCCTGAGGAAAAACAAACAAGAACATAATCACAATACAATGGACAAAATGTGTTCTACATATCTTAAAGAAAGGATGAAATACTTGAATAGAATTGACCTTACATAACACAATTGTTTGATTATAAATTAAAGAATGCGAGGTAACTTTGATAGTATAGAATGTATCATATATTCAGTGAGGTATTTCCTCAGCTTACACCAATGTGTTTTAATGTTTGTCTTGTACAGTGGGTGATCGGTTAACGAACATAATCCGTTCCAAAACTTTGTTCGTTATCCGAATTGTTCGTTAACCGATTATTGATTTACCATAGGTTTTTATGGGAATTTCATTAATTTGTTCCGGAGACTCCAAAAAGTAAAAAATATGTACTTTTTTACTACGTTTATTTATATATAATAGTAAAAATACATATATATGTAGTCTTGCATTTTTATTAGTCATGTTTTTTCCGCTTGTGGGGGTTAAAGAATCTGTACAATATCGATTGTTTTTCTCTTTTCATTAGGATTTTTCAGAAGTAATTAATAGTATTGTAATTGTAGAGATTGACAACTCCATTAACCTTATTCTGGTTTGGATGCCACTTGGATGATCGTTGTTCTGACATTCTCCCACTTCTTCAAAAGATCTTTAGTAGTAGATGTCAACATCGGTCCTTTTTCACCTTCCACTTCTTCAAAAGAAAACACATCTCACTGAGTTTCTTGGTATTCTTCATTTGAGAGTTCTTTGAGTTCTTCTGTCGTCAGATTTGTTTCAGGTTCCATTATGAGCTCTAAAATGCTCTTTATTTCTCAGATGTGATTTTCATGACTCCATTAGCAGCCTGAGACTTCTTGATATATCTTTCATAGCTAAGATTGTACCTACTGTAGACCTGTTCAAGTCATTCTGCCTAGCAATATTAGACATCTTGTGCCCACTTTCTACCTGGGCTATTATCTCTTGCTTGGTTTCTACGGTGAGCACAGTTCTTGACACTCCTCTTTTTAGGCTCCATAATATTATCAGTTTCTTTTTTAAATAAAAAGTTCAGAAAAGCACTTACAAAAATTCAGAGAACAGAAATCAACTAGCCCACATAAACTTATTTAAACACAAGGCCCGGATAAAATTTGAAATTTGGTATTAAAACGTTAACGAATATCCAATGAGACAATTAAACTTTCACCTTTTGTAAATAAACCCCGACGCAAAACTTAACAAGTGCACGTCTGACAGTCTCACGAATACTATAAAAAATTATTTGTCAGAAAGGTAAACAAAAAGCTGGAATTACAAGGGAGAGTTTCAAAATTTGGAGGAATATTATACTATCCGATCGGTATCGGGTTGACATCGATGTTGACGTTTCCCGCGCTCCTAAAAGTTTCGAATTGTTACCCAAAGACACGGGAAAATCAATCGGTTTTCATTATTTTCTGTCACTTCTTTTTATGTTTGTTCAGTAAAGTGTTCATTAACCGAACATTTGTTCGTTGTCCGATCATAAAAATCTTTCCCGAAAGTGTTCGTTATCCGATTAGTTCGCTATCCGAACTGTTCGTTAACCGATCACTTACTGTATTTAATTTTATGTATTGCATTTCTTGTATATAGTTTTATGTACTGTGTTGTAATATTTTAAATTTTATTATTTGTTACTTAATTTATTTTACCAATTCTTGGATGTATTCAAAACATAACTTTGTAATTTTGTAAACAATTTTAATCAGGCTGTGCTGAATATGTAATATTACGTTAATAAACCAGATGAATGATGATGATGATGTCTAATGGCAGCAAGAAACTGTCCCTGCAGCTCTGTTGAATTGCTGTGCCTGTTCCTTTTTGCCAATACGGTCAAAAACATACATACATACATACATACATACAAGAAAGACATTGCTGTACACAAAGTATTTAGCTGGCAGAAAAGAGTGTAAGGGATGGGAAGGGAAGGGAAGATCAGATAGCAATCATCTCTAGCTGTTGTGACAGATGGGCAACCCTGCCCTCATCTTCTTCATACTGTGTCAGTCTCTTGAAAGCAATTCCATAGTCTGCTAATTATGCTTTGGGATGTTCCAAGTGCTATTGCCACTGTCATCTGTGTTTAACCAGCCTCAAGACATCCTATGGCTCTCCAGGCTTCTCATTTGGGCAAATCAGGTTGCAGGGGCATTGCAAGGGCTAGAAAATTGCAGGATGTGCATTTTCAAGATCAGGGAACATGCAGATACACCAGTACTTTCAAGCCTTTCGTAGTGCATTTTCACAAATGAAATAAAAGTTGGTTTTGCATCTCATTTGCATAATCAAACAGTGCTTTACACAAAACATCGCTCGTTTCATTTAAATTTCCTGGAAGGTTTCCACATGTGATGATTCGAATGGCAATCTTTTCAAAAGGAAATATTTGATTCACAACATCTGGCTTCTTTTTTACCAGGGCTATGGAGTCGGAGTCATGGAGTTTTGATGTTTTAGCTGGAGTCGGAGTCGTGGAGTTTTGGTGTTTTAGCCAGAGCTGGAGTCATCAAAAAATCCACCAACTCCGACTGCTTTTTTACTTACCAACTTGTTATATATATAAAATGGAAAAGTATTGGAATTGTGTCAAATTTGACCCTCCAAGCTTTTTTGCAAATCTACACGTTTGGAGACCTCCCGAACCCTTAAATTAATTATTTAAGCTATAAAACCTTTCAGTATGCAGTCTTTTTATTAAATCTTCTAATGCATTCAGTCAGTTGATTGCTTTCTTCAGGAAAACCCCTCAAAAAAGTCAATAAAAGGAGAAAAATTTGCATGCGTGTGTTGGAATCTAATTTGTTTAATTTCTTTATTTTCTGTTTTGAGATATTAAACAATATCTTAGAATGGGTAAAGTTTAAGAAACAAAATGTGACACTGTAGCTTGCATATAAAGGGGCATTAATACTATTAAATTTTGGTTCTTAATTAAAGGTCGACAGAGTGAAGACATAAAAGTGGTCATGTGTCATATCTCTTAATGAATATTTTACTCTTTAATGAATATTTTAGCATTCAAAATTTAAAAAAATAAAATAAAACTCGTCTTTACCCTCAAAGTAAGCATTTTTGTCATTTTATAATAGTACAGTAAAACCTGTCAAGATGTTCTCGCCTAAGATGTTAGAATGTATATGGGAACATGATTTAGTTCAACCACTTTGACACTTAATAACTAACTCTGTGTTAAACCATCTGACTCCGATTCTGACTACAGAAATTATTAGGCTTCAAACAGGGTGAACAAAATCATGCCCCCCCCACACAGTCTAGCATCCACACATGTAGGAAAAAACCTCAAATCTTTTGCATATCTTGAAATTTCAAGGTGTCCCGAGTCCATAAATGTAAAAATTTAAGAGGAGTCATTTTTTTGACCGAGCGCTATACTTTCCCTCTGTTATATATAACAGCCAGGAAAGTAAAAATTATCGAATACATATTTATATATTACTTACAGAAGTCTTTTAGCTTTGGAATAAAAAGTTTCTACACTCTATCTTTATTATAACTCTATTTATTGAATCTTTTATTCTGAGGTCACGTGATGACATCAGAATTTCCGGGTCTCTTTCGGTAACAAGTCCACCCATGGTCAGAGTCGGATGGTAAGGAAAAGTCAAAGTTGGTACATTTTTACACAACTCCACAGCCCTGTTTTTTACACAAAAAAGCCTGAAGAAGAGCCCAGAAGGGGCCTTGAAAATGTTAGCTATCCTATTACACAATCACTCCGGTTACCAGGTTTAACATAAGTATTATTTATGCTTCTTTTTTTTTTATTGCTTAATATTTATTTTGAAGTATCCCCTAATTTTTGTGAGTTTCTCAAATGGAAAACAGATTGTTTCCACTTCATANAGATGTTCTCGCCTAAGATGTTAGAATGTATATGGGGACACGATTTAGTTCAACCAATTTAATGCGTAATAACTAACTCCTGTGTTAAACCATCTGACTCCGATTCTGACTACTCTGACCGCAGAAATTATTAAGCTTCAAACATAGTGAACAAAATCGTGCCACTCTCACACAGTCTAACATCCACACATATAGAAAAAACCTCGAATCTTTTGCATATCTCGAAATTTCAAGGTGTCCCGAGTCCAAAAATGTAAAAATTTGGGAGAAGTCATTTTTTGACCGAGCGCTATACTTTCCCTCTGTTATATATAACAGCCAGGAAAGTAAAAATTATCGAATACATATTTATATATTACTTACAGAAGTCTTTTAGCTTTGGAATAAAAAGTTTCTACACTCTATCTTTATTATAACTCTATTTATTGAATCTTTTATTCTGAGGTCACGTGATGACATCAGAATTTCCGGGTCTCTTTCGGTAACAAGTCCACCCATGGTCAGAGTCGGATGGTAAGGAAAAGTCAAAGTTAGTACATTTTTACACAACTCCACAGCCCTGTTTTTTACACAAAAAAGCCTGAAGAAGAGCCCAGAAGGGGCCTTGAAAATGTTAGCTATCCTATTACACAATCACTCCGGTTACCAGGTTTAACATAAGTATTATTTATGCTTCTTTTTTTTTTATTGCTTAATATTTATTTTGAAGTATCCCCTAATTTTTGTGAGTTTCTCGAATGGAAAACAGATTGTTTCCACTTCATAAAAGAAGTCAAAATAATTCAAAATATAAAATCTCAAAATCAAAATCTATATTGTGTCAAATCATTGTAAGACATTAATATTACAAATCTTATATTCCAATTTATATAGTAATTCAAGTGACACAATGCAATGTTTGACAATTGTATTTTTATATCTATTGACAAATTGTGATATAATTTACTTATGAATTATAAAATTATGTGTAATAAATCATTCTAATTATTTTTCTATAAAGAAATTTAAAAATTCTATTCACAATATACTTTAAACATTGAAAGTTTACAGTTTATCAACAAATAGCATAATTTGTAATTTTAGTATTGTCATGTTATCTAAAAGTAAAAATAAAACCATTGATAACTGCTAAATTAATTTAATCAGTTAAATATTGGGTTGAATTTCTAGAGTTAGTAAGTCTTCATAATAGTTTAACTTTTTAACTTTGAAGAATTTACTTATGTCTAATATGTGTATAAAATATGTTTATTTGACTTGAAAGTATTGTATTAAAGTTGTTTGTTTTGTTCTTCTAAATTGGCTGACAAGCTGCTACACACACCAATGTCTCCTCATTATCGTGTTGGTGGTGGTAGATGCATTATGCCCTTCTGCAAACTTCAATGCAACCTTAATAAGAAAAAAAATTAAAAGGTGTATACACTGTAGTATGGAAGGTAAGACTTGGAAAAGTGTACAATAGTTTTGAAAATTTTTGATTGCTCCAGTTCAATTGTGGGAGAGTCTACTGTAATATAATTTCAGATTATTTTAAAATATAATAATAATAAACTTTAAAATTAATTATTTAAGCTATAAAACCTTTCAGTATGCAGTCTTTTTATTAAATCTTCTAATGCTTTCAGTCAGTTGATTGCTTTCTTCAGGAAAAATCAAAAAATTCCAATTTATAAAGAACAAAATCTATTTTGTTCCAAAATAGAAGGTCAATAAACTGACCAAAAGTGTTAAAGATTTAATATTTAAACTAATTTTAATAAATTTGATTTTGGATATTATAACTTTTAGAAAGAAATGCAAATTTTTAATATTCATTTTAAAATAACAAAAATATATATTATTCTTTCCAACATAAAGCCCGATTATTTACGGCAGTTGTGGGTGTCTATTATTCTTTATCATACAATATTATAATTTTATAACTTACTATTCTTTCTTCTCTATCTGAAATAGACGAATGACCCGGTTCGTATTCAGTGATACTACGTGGCTGATTTTTATATACCTCTTGATACGATCGTAAAGAAGTTGGCAAAAATATATTTTTGGATCTAAAAATGTTATAATTTAAAAATAAATACAATGTAATATTAAATTTTAGCAATATCAATAAGAAAAAACTTTACTGCATTATTTAAATTCAGATATTGCATTAATAAGTACGTTTCAATTAAAATTACAAACATTGTATATAATGATTAATTTTAAAATAAATAAATAAATAACTAATTCACCTTTAATTATCTGGCATTTGTTCTGTGTTTTAGACAAATGCTTTCAATTCTTTTAAAAAGTTATCTTTTGGTTCAGCAAAGATTATGCATTATACAAATGCATTTTGCAATAATTATTGAACAAAGTTACCAGAACACATTCAAAACTTTACAATTCTAAAGTTTGAATGTGTTCCGATAAAGTTGTTCAATAACTGTTATACAGGGTCCTACAGGAATTATAAATGTTATTATCTTTTAAATATTTATTAAGAAATTTTCATGTACAAGATTTCAAACGACATAGTTTGCCATTTATATTTTGAGGATGGCATCACAAAACGTGGCTTTCATTTGTGCACAAACACTCTTTAGATCTTCAAAGTATGTCATGCATATATCAAAGTAACATATTCTTGAATATGTTATTGATTGCATGATAAATTTGAAAATAATTTAAAAGGGGAGGCTAAATCAGTTATTTAATAGTTATAACTTAGCAGAGGAAACAACGAAATAATTAAGTTTACAATAATAATTTTTCTCAGTTGAAATATCATCATAACAAAATTTTGTAAAATAAATTATAAAGACAAAGTGGCATTTTCTTTGGTCAAGCAAGAAATAAACAAGATGGATGATCTCAAGATTGAAATGGAGGATCAAAGTCCCTAAAGCATGTAATATGTTTGAATTTAAAAAATTAACAGTAGCAAACAAAAATTGTGATGAGAAAATGATTAGAGAATATTTGGAGAATGTAATTGTCAAATGTATTAGCAAGGAGAAAGAATATAAAAAATAAGCATTCAAGTTAATATATGCTTCTTGTGCTTAATTACTTATACAGTAGAGCTTCGATTATCTGAATCAATTAGGGACTAGGGTTGTTTGGAAAATCGATATTTCAGATAACTGATAATGTACGAAAAAATATATTAACCTATCCCATGTTGAAATTTTTCTCCGTTGCGTGTTGCTTCGCGTTGGATTTTCGTCAATGTTAAGCCTAACAAAGACTATTGTATCATTAAAAATTATTTTTTTATTTTGTACAAACAAAATATATATATTGAAAAATATAAAAACAATAAAAAATTATACTTCAGAAGTTAATTTAGAATCAAAAACGTAAAATATTTGAGTAGCCCAAGACATAGCCAAAGATTGCAGCACCACAGCACTGGCAAAAATTTAAATTTGCAGACTGGAATTCTTTCAGATAATTGACGTTTTGGATAATTGACTTTCGGATAATCGATGCTCTACTGTATTATGCTTGTGTCCACTTTGGATGTTCTTGTGAACTAGCACTTGTTATACTGAGGAAAAAGAAACACACCATTTCCAATTAAGATATATTTATTGTAACATATTCTTGCTGGATTGGGTTAAATTTAGTAACTAATGCAACCAATTTAACTTGTGAGAAATGCATTATGGAAAAGCATACCAGAAGACCCTTTACTGAAAAGAATATAATAAGAAGTAAGAAAGTTTTAGAACTTCTTCACATGGACCTATATGGGCTGTTACAAGTGGTGTCATTAGGTGAAAGTAAACACATTTTAGTAATAGTAGATGATTATAGCAGAAAAATAGCTGTAAGATTTTTGAAAAGTAAATATGAAGTTAGTGAGGAACTCAAGGCATTTATTCACCTAATAGAAACACAGACAGAAGAGAAAGTTAAAAAAAATCTGGACAGATAATGGAACCAAATTTGTGAATGAGCAGTTAGGAGATTTCTTAAAGAAAAAGGATATAGTACACAAAAAGACAATCCCTTTCACACCACAACTGGAGATGCATAGAAAACCAATTGCTTCCTTATGGATGTAGCTAGAACTATGATCATAGAGGCCCACTTACCACCTGATTTTTGGGCAGAAGCAGTCTATATAGCAGCATACATCATAAATCGCTGCGCAAAAAAATAGTCAGTGACAAAGTGCCAGAGGACTTGTGGAGTGAACAGAAGCCCTCTGTTTTCTATTTTAAGAGATTTGGTTGTCCAATATATGCATGAATACCAAAAAAACACAGAAAAAAATTGAATATTAAAACAAAAGTGATACTAAACTGGAATAAAGTAAACAACAAATGTACTGGGGAGCCTGTTACTGGTGTGCTTCTCGGAAAAAACAGAGCGTTACAAACGTTTTTGAACTTGAAGTTCTTCTTCAAGTAACCAATGACTGTTAAATGAATGCGATTCAAATTAAAGTCAAATTGGAACACCATTCAGAATTCTATTGCGTGGATATCGATAACATCATTCAGGCGTGTGCCCCTTTAACGACTGTAGATTATTATAAGTTCTTGTCTATGAGCACCTGCCATGCAGTTGACAGGGTGATTTCATCTTTATGGTTAATGCAGTTATCATCTTTAAGTGTAGCCATACAGATGTAAAGAGCCTCTAGCCATCTAAGATGGTTTACGTATTGTGTAGTGAAAATCACTTTGGCTTGATTGAACAATGGTTCTATTTCTGGATCTGAGGCATAGATAGCAAGAGCAATGGTGGGCTTCGCATGTAGAATATCCTCTGCGTGTTCTTTCATTCTCACTTCCAGGGAGCGCTTAGTGGACCCTATGTAGATCAGGTTTCTGTCCCATCTATGGTCCATAATCAAGATGGTGTACATCCCAGGGAGTCGTTCTATCTCAACGCTATCAGAGAAACAGCACTGGGTCCCAAAAAAGACAGGGTCTGAAAGCCAAGTGTCCAGGCAAAGAAGCACCCAAGCTGCTCAGACTCGGTCACAGAAAACTGTGATGTCCCAGATTCACATGACGCTGCCAAGCCAGAAGTGTGAGAAAAACAAGAAACGTGTTTTGATCAACACAAAAGAATTTGTTCCAGAAAGTGAGACCAAAAACAAACAAAAAGCTTTGAAAAAACCATGCCAAAGACTAATCTAAATAAAAAGCTCACGCTATACTGAGAGTGGTCTCAGAGAGAGAGGTCGATGACCTCCATTGATCATGGTCATGAAAAAAGTCAGAAACAAAAAATTTAGGAAAACGTTAGGTGGTGATTGTCAAGAACTGCTGTAACCATCACCCAAAAACGCCCCAAAACACAAAAATCAAGCAAAAAACTGAGAAAAGAAAAACAATCAACAAGAGAAAAACAAGAAAAACAAAAATGCAATAAAAAAGACCAAACTGGAGGAAAAAAACCCTGCAAAAGCAGAAAAAACAAAAAATCAGCAATAAATGACCACCATTACAAACCATTGCAACAGTCATCTCAAAAGCAAAACAAGCAAAAAAGAAGGAAAGAGACACTATGGCCAGAAACATATGCATAAAATTCGGCATTATATCTAGAATAAAACAAAGCATAAAAATTTTTCTGAAATTTTGGCTGAAAAATAACTGAAAAAAAAGTAGAGCATGTGTGTACTTTTTATTAATAAACCAACAAACGCCTAAATAATAGTGCTATAATATGGCTATAATTAAATAATAAATACAAATGAATTTGGTATAGAGGCCATATTATAAACAGACTATTTAGGCATTTGTTGGTTTATTAATATATCATCAGGCTTTGAGATGTATTATATCTACTTTTTATGCGCATAAAATTTTTACACCAAAATTCTTCCAATAAAGAGAACCATACTGGTCATTCACAGTTGGCACTGTGAGTGCCACTCTAGGCCAATTCTTTTCTTCCAAAACTTTCTAAACTTAAGAATTTAACTTCATTCATATTAAAATGTAACTACAATACAAACTATTGTATATATTAGCTGTCTAAATAATAATGTAAAAAGTGTTGTTCATATATATGATTAAATTCACTAAGCCAGTGGTTCCCAAACTTTTTTGATTCTCAGCACCATTGCTAAATCCAGTTTTTTCCAAAGTGCTCTATGTCAAATTCTAACAAATACAATTTGCAAAATAGTCTATATTTTTTTAAATTAAAGAGCACCATCAGTACAGATACCAATACATTTGATCTGCTCCAAATCATCTTCGGATATAAAAATATCAGAGATCTCAAACAAGTCATGAGTCTTAACATCAGCAGTAAAACTTTTACAAAAAAGAAATGTTATTACTATGTATAAACTGTACATAGCAAATCAAGTGAGCATCATAATTATTATCTGTGTCCTCATCTAGCTGCAACCCAAATTCCTTCCCTTTTATTTTTTCAATTAACTGAACATTGAAGGTCCTTCCCTATGTGCTGTGTGAGAAATCAGACTTCAACATAAACAGTTTAATGTCATAACATCAACTTTCACACCTGGGAGTAAATGATTTGTTAAGTTCTCAGCAATGACAGCAATGCTTTCTCATAACCTCCCAACCTACTATCTTCATATCTCCAAGTCAATATAGCCAGAAACTGCAAGTTTAAGCAGTCGTCACAAGTCCCTCAACGAAATATCATCCCTTACCTAGTGCCAATGGATATAATTAGTTCTTGCAGATACTTCAGTTCAACAGATACAGTAAACTCCTGATTATCTGGGCTAATGGTGGAGAGAGGTGGCACAGATAATCCGAACTATAATTATTTATTTCTAAAATACAACATTTAGATTCAATGTAGATTCACCTTTTTCAAATTTTTCAATTAATGTTAGTTTTGTTTTATAGTAAGTACAACTTTCTTTAGATTATTAGGCATTTTAAGGGTACTTATCTGAAAATTAAAAAAAAACATCTTATTTTACGTAATTTTACACTAAAAGTATTTGTGGGAGAGTTATTTGAAAAAAATATTATGTATAATATGTATTATACATAAATACATGTAATCAAATCTTAAATTGTAATACATATTATAACATGCAACTAAATGAAACTTTGTATAAATACACTCACTATCATTTTCTCCTCCAAAAAGAAACGTCCGGCACAAAAGAAGTGGCCTATCTAAAACCAGTCCAGCTGACTTCAGATATCCCCACCACCCGCTTCAAACATCTAAATATGAACACGTGCACTGCGGTAAACATGAAAGCGAGCAACTATTTAAAAAATATATACACATATAATTAATTTTTTTTAAATTAAATTCATGCACGGATAATCCGCACACGGATAATCAGGAGTTTACTGTACTTCCTCATCTATGGATATGAATTTTGAAGATGAACTCTATCTCAGGGGACTAAGATACATTGATACATGATCAAGAATGAACATCAGACTATTTTCGAATATCATCATCCCAAGGTATTTATTGCCATGCAAATCTCACGTAAACTCTCTCTCACAACAACTTTCATTTAAAGATCCCTTGAAGTTAAGGCCTAATGAACTGTAATGAAAATTGTAAATTGTATCATGTTGTTTATGTAATTAAATTGTTATTAGTTGTTAACTTGGTACCCAAGTGATTCATTTCCAGTAAGCTGTCTCTCAACCCATCTCCATCCCAGATCCAATCACCCGTGTACATGGCCGCTCACGTGACCGAATCAACACGTCGTCTCTGCTTCCTTGTCAATCAGGACACAGTGGTGTCAGTCCTGACAAGGCACTAAAGAGGTGCTGACCTTGTGGTCACAGCCGTATTCTGCGACTGAAAGTGTTATTAGACAAAGAAACTTTTGAAAGCTGCTTTCCAGCACACTCACCAATCATATTGTTCACCATATCAATAGCAGCTGGTAAAATGAGTTTTTCTGTGATAGTATGAAGCTTTTTACATTTTGAAATTCTATTACATTATTACCGAGTTAATGATTTGCACCAGGTCTGCTGGATGTCACATCTTATCACATTGAATTAAAAGTGGAAGTAAAATTATGAACATTTTATAATAAAGTGTGTTCTGCGGCTCTCTCACAGGGGTGCCACGGCACACACTTTGGGAACCAACGCTAAGCTATGAAAAGAAGCTTAAAAGTGATAACAAATAAATATTTTTATACAGTGGGTGAGTCGGTTAATGTACAAATCGGATAACGAACACTTTCGCAAAAGATTTTTATGTTCAAACAAAGAACATATGATCAGATAACAAACACCTACAGAACAAACACAAGAAGCAGTGACGTAAAATAATGAATATCAATTGGTCTTCCCTCGTCTTCAAACAACAATTCAAAACTTTTCTGAGCGCAGGAGATGTTGACATCAACATTCAACTCAGTATATACCAATCGGATAGTATTCCTCCAAACTTTGAAACTCTCTCTTGTAATTCCAGCCTTTTATTTTTCTGACAGAAACAATTTTTTTATAGTATTCCCGAGACTGTTAGGCAGGCACTCATTAAGTTTTGTGTCAATTTTTATTTTCGAAAGGTAAGAGTATAACAGCAAAGGTAGAGAGTGGGCAAATGTCTGATGTCTGTTGTTGCTGGGTAGTATGGCTCGAACAGGTCTACTGTAGGCTACAGTTCAATCTTATTTAAGAAAGATATAGTATTATCAAGAAGACTCAAGCAGCTTAAGGAGTAACAAAAATCACATGTGAGAAATAAAAAACATTGAAGAGCTCATAATGAAACCTTAAACGAATCTGACGACAGGAAAACGTCGAGAACTGTTTTTTGAATGAAGAACAGTAAGAAACTTGGCGAGATATGTTTTCTTCTAAAAAGGAGAATTAATGTCAATATCTGCTATTAAACATTTTTTTGAAGAAGTGAGATGATGTCAGAACGAACTGTCTTAGAATGGCATCGATACCAGGTTGAAATTAATAGCCTACAATTACAATGCTATTAATTACTTCAGAAAAATCCTGAAGAAGCGAGAAAAGCAATCGACATTAGACAGATTCTTTAACCCCCACAAACGGAAAAAACATGACTAATAAAAATGCAAGACTGTTTATATATGTATTTTTATTATTACATATAAATAAAAGTAGTAAGAAAGTATATATTTTTTATTTTTTGGGGTCTCCGGAACAAATTAATGAAATTCCCATAAAAACCTATGGTAAATCGATAATCGGTTAACGAACAATTCGGATAGCGAACAAAGTCTTGGAACGGATTATGTTCGTTAACCAATCACCCACTATACTAGTAATTTCTAATCCAAAATAGTCATAACCATCCATTTTATCAAAGTTTTTTGATATCCAGGATTGTTTCAGTTCACATTTCCTCACCATTTCTGAAAACTAAAAATATAATTCTGCTGCATTTTTAATTTTCAAAACAATTTTTTATTGTAATTGTTCTAAATATGTAACTGAAGTTTAGTTTAATATAAGAATTCTGTTATACATCATTCTAAACAATAGATAATTCTAACCTAAGGATATTCAAATATTTGACCAAAACATTTTCTTCTGTTTAATAAAAAACAGTGCTGGCTTTTTGAAAAATGCAATGGTTTCATTTATTTATTTATTATTTAATTTTTATGATTTCTAAAACATTTAAGTTTTATTAAATATTTATAATATTACTTACTCAATTTGTTTATCTCTGATCACTGTTTTTGAACGTTTTTCATAATTATCCATAGAATATTTAATAGAATAATCTGAAATAAATTTACAATATATAACAAATTAAAATAATAATTTCAAATAAATACTATAGATTCTTTGCAAATAAATATATTTTCAGAGGATTTCAGAACTAACAGTTACTTTTAAATTAAATATAACTGCACACACATATACTCAAAACTAGTGAAAAGAATTAAATATAGTTACTAATATAAACATTTTCATTCCTTTCCAATGATCTTACTTATACTTATACTGAATGCAAAAGCAAACAATCTTCAAATTTTCTTTACTTCACAACTGGGTGCATAGGTAGACAATGGGCATCTTTAACATCACTCTTTATTCAGGAATATCTTACATATTGATACGTGTTTTGGGCATACGTCCCTCTTCCATCGCCTTTCCTTTAAGACATTTAGTGAAGAGGTGCTAACTATTACACATATTTTTTAAAAAATACATATATTTACAGTTAATATTTCCTGTCAGGACTGGGTTGGCACTGATGAGAGAAGAGATCTAGTGAGGAAAACTAAGTGAGAAGCGACCCAGACTCAGGCCTAGAGAGATAGGAAGGCAGAGATAGTCAGTGTAGACGTGTGCATAGTGACTTTGAGCCAAGTGGTATAGTTACAGAACTAAGTTAGGGAACCCTTCCTCAGCAATATTTGATGACAACGTGTTATCATTTCTTCAATGCAACCAGATTGAACATCTACTGTCCATATGGCAATAATCATCCATATTACCTCGTTATTAGAATTCCAATCTAAGCTACCAGTATACTACCTAACCATTCTTCATTCTTCTTTCTCTATATAGTTCATAAGTAGTAATAGTCTTAATTTTAAGCTGAATTATATAATAATTAATTGTCACAAGAAGATTGAGCAAAAGCGGGGAATTAGTGTAAATATATTTTTATTCTGTATAACAAGCAGACTGATATCTGTTCCCCTATTCTGTTTAATATATGCAATTCGACTGGTATTTGTTACATCTCATTCATAACATGTTTTTCTCACCCTTCACATCTGACTTGTTGTTGCTGTGATAATGTAGAAATTAAAACAATCTCCAGGCCTGATGTAGGGTGTTTGTATCTTTAAAATTAGTTGCCACATTTTTCTTATGAGCTGTAGAAAAATGCAGATCTTACAACCTAGAGAACTTATCATATAACTGTTCAGTTGTTTTGCCAAAAGACAGAATAAACTTATTTGGTTTAGAAATTGACAAACTAAACATGGATTTTGATTTTACATGTTGAATTTTTGGTAATTTTAACTCATAAGCAAGCTAGTAATAGTAAAATCAGGCTGTTGAAATTTTGTGAGTTAGTTCAGCATCAAAAAGTTGTACAGGAATACCAAATTTTAAAATGTTATTTCTATTAATTGTGTTCTTACAGCTTGCAATACTTAGAAGTTAGTTTTGTATCATGCTCACAATACTTTTAGAGCATTCATTTAAGATCTTCTAGAAATTCAAATATTTGTTCTTTTAAATCTGTAGGTAATAGTTTTATAAATTACAGAACGTCTGTGCCAACTTTTATTTAATTCTTTTAACAGTAAATTGGCTTAAACTATTAGAAATAAAACTGACCAATGAAAATGTTCTTTGACTGGTTTTTCTATACAAGTTCCCCTTGTAGCCTATTAGGTAAAAACAATTTAGTCAGCAGATACATAAAAAGTAAGAATCTTCAGAGCTTAGAGTTAAAATGAGCATCATTGGGTGAAGACAACCCATCAAACTGCTCAACTTGACACTGAATCATCATATATGTTACCTGGGTATCATCTAACAAAAAAAGGTAACCAAGTGACTGATGTTTACTTTTTTCTTAACAATATTGACATGCAGAGCAATTTTCAGTTCAACTGCATTAATTTAAATTATGTTTGTGAATATTATACACGCATTCTATAATTCTTTTCTTTTATTATTATACTAGCTGCAAGGACCTGCTTCGCTGGGTTTTTATTTGTATGTAATATAGTTTTTTTATATATATAAAAGACTGTTTTTCTAAGTAATCTAGAATCTAGCTGCAAGGACCCGCTTCACTGGGCAAAAAGTAACGATAGTGAAGATTAAGAAAATTACATTATAGCCAATCTTACCCGTTTTTACAGAATGCAAGAATTAGGTCCCCCATTTCCAGACTAATTAGAGACCTAGTCCCGATTCTATTTCTGAATGTCTCCTGTTCACGTGCAGTCAAACAAACTATTTTCAACGTTTCTGGAATGTTTACAATCGTTCTATAATCGAACCAATATTCGAATTTTATGTTCGAATTTGTTCGAACAAATTCAAACAAATTAGAACAAAACATTCGAAATAGAAAGCCACTTTAAACCACTTTCAGCCTCATACCTCCCGCACCCTTATAGCTATCGAGACGCAACCCCCTGGTACACGAATGGAGACTTGGGGCTACCATCACATAAAAACACCATTCATGTGCAATGTGTAGTTTTGGAGAAAAAGTGAAATATAGGGACATACATGTCCATTTTTATATATATACTAGCTGCAAGTACCCGCTTCGCTGGGTTTTTATTTGTTCGTACATTTGTATGTAATATAGTTTTTTTTAATATATAAAAGACTGTTTTTCTAAGTAATCTAGAATCTAGCTGCAAGCACCCGCTTCGCTGGGCAAAAAGTAACGATAGTGAAGATTAACAAAATTACATTATAGCCAATCTTACCCATTTTTACAGAATGCAAGAATTAAGTCCCCCATTTCCAGACTAATTAGAGACCTGGTCCCGATTCTATTTCTGAACTTCTCCTGTTCACGTCCAGTCAAACGAACTATTTTCAACGTTTCTGGAACGTTTATGATCGTTCTACAATCGAACCAATATTCGAATTTTATGTTCGAATTTAATTCGAATATTGTTCGAATTTGTTCGAGTTAAATTCGAACAAATTCGAACAAAACATTCGAAATAGAAAGCCACTTTCAACCACTTTTAAGCCCATATCTCCCGCACCCTTATATCTATCGAGACGCAACCACCCCTATGCACGAATGGAGACTTGGGGCTACTACAACATACAAACATTCACGTGTGATGTGTAGTTTTTGCAAAAAAGTGAAATATAGGGACATACACGTCCATTTTTATATATATATACCATGTTTCCCCGAAAATAAGACAGTGTCTTATATTAATTTTTGCTCTGAAAAACGTACTAGGTCTTATTTTCAGGGAATGTCTTATTTTTTCCAGGAAGAAGAATTCACATTTATTATTGAACAAAAAAATTCTCAAGTCGAACTTAGACGAGAGTGACGTATATCCGGTGTGTCGAACTGTCGCCTTTTTATAGCGTCAACATCGGACTCGATGACCAATTAGTGCTTACTGAACCGTAGCACTATGCAAATATCATGTGGCGTAATTCCCGGCCGACCAATTAGCCATCACCAGCAGTAACGTTATGCAAATCTGTGATTTCCAAGCCACAGTCTTATGCAAATCATGCCGTATGGCGTAATTGTCTGCTGACCAATCAGTGGCTGTACTTTCAAAAAGCCAACGGCCACTTTCAACCATCTGTCGATGACCCTTAGGACTAAAAAAAACTTTGCTAGGTCTTACTTTCAGGGAGAGGTCTTATATTTCGCAATTCAGCAAAACCTGTGCTAGGTCTTATTTTCTGCGGATGTCTTATTTTCGGGGAAACACGGTATATATATATATAGATATAGATATACTGTAACCAACTAAACTAAACTAACTATTATATTGTAATAAAAATTATTTATGTCCTTACAGATGATAATGAAAATGCTTTGAATAAATTAATGATAAAGCAATACTTCATAAGCAACTTTTAGAAGTTTATATTTACATTATTATTTATAATTATTATTTTTTAAAAAAATTATTCTAAAAATTTCAAATTAAACAATAAATCTATATAAAATTGCTTGTCCTGACTGACTCATTCAAGTAAGGGAACCTGAGAGTGGGGAATTCGGAGAAAGAGCCTAGAAAGAGCTAAAATCTCCATATTAACAAAGAAGAAGAAGAAGAAGACTGACTCATTCACTCACTGATTCATCATTGCCCAGAGCAAACCACTGAACCTAAAGAAATGAAACTTGGTACACAGTTAGGGTACGTCATGAAAACGCTCACTAAGAAGGGATTCTTCGAAATTCCCCACGGGGGGAGAAGGAGAGCATTAAGGCTTAACCAGAAAAATGGCTTCTACTGTACTATTTTACATGTGATTTTTTGTTACGTTTAGTCTTCATTAAGTATTTAAGTGTATTAAATTAATAACATTTCAGACATTGTTATAAATATTTTTATATATTTTGATTTTTTAACCAAATGTTCGAACCTTTTTAAATTCGAATTTGTTATTGCATATCGGTTCGATTATAGAACGATTGTAAACATTCCAGAAAATTGATCAAATTGAAAATAGTTTATTTGATTCTCAGCAATTCTCATCATTCTCGGCAGTAAGTGTTATATAACAATTACTATGGTTGTTGAAATACTGAATATAAATGGGGTTTGCTTGCAAAACCTCCGCGGGCAAAGTTGCAGGTAACAGCTAGTATAATATAATTTTGTAACTAAACACATTGTAATATCATTATTGTACTTTAAAATATTAAATACAAGTAAAATAAATTTAATACCTTCTTTTTCTACTTCTGGTTCAGACATGTAACCACCATCATGAGGTATATTTCCTGCAACATTTAAATGTAAATTTAAAAATCATTATTTCATAAATACCAAAATTAATTAATAATCACAAAAATGCTCCAGTCTCCCTGAACAAATCACACATTTGATGCTATCCAAATATAATAGAAATATTTTTGAGTTTGCTTGCTCATATTCAGAAATATAGTACTACCAAACTACTAATAAATAAGCATATTAATTTGTTAAATTATTGTTCTTTAGTCATCGGGTCACAGATTTGAATCCCATCAATGTATCTACTCAATGGTTATTTGTATATTACCTGTTGAAAACATGACATTGAGAAATATAATTGAGGACATAACAATTAACAGGTTACATGGAGTCATTATAAATGAAAGTAAAATAAAGAAATACATTATGAATACAATAGAGGACATAAAAAAATGGGAAATAAAGAAAAATCATATAGTAAGGATACAATTTAAAAATATACAACTGGTCATTATCTTTATATAAACAAAACAATAAATAATTTAACTCAAATAAAATATGTCATACTAGTATAGAATACAGTAATAACTATGAAATGCAATAATTAAAAAGTTTTTATTATTACTAATGGTTATCAGTACACTCACACTAAGAAAAAATTAAAATATTTTATTAATTATAAATAAATTTTAATGGGCATTGCCAAAAATTGTATGAATACATCTTTTTTAAAATTCCCCTAGATTTGTCAAAAATTTACAAAAATATCCCTTTTTCTTTTCAGCAATTGAAACTCCCTACATTTACAGACAAATTGGCAGCCCTGGTGCTGAACAGGGCACTACCCTTCTCATCCTCCCCTAGCTACAGTACTGATGAAATATCTGATAAAAAATGAAATAAACAGTGACTGACATTAAATATACATTGAGAAAGCAAAATTCTGCAACAGAAATAAATCCAGTTCAGAAACAGAGACAAAAGCAGTGAGTATCCACTCTTTTCAAAGGAACAAAAAATTAAATGTTCTACTCTTCCACAAACCAGGAAAGCAAATAAAATAACGAACACACTAACTTTACATTTCTCTGAGCACAAATGTGAAAAAATTAACACAAAATGAATGCTTTCAGTCTACTTCCAAGACTTGCTTCAAAAACCTGAAGCAGGTCTTAGAAGCAGACTGAAAGCATTTGTTTTGTGTTAATTTTTTACCATCTTGTTGAAGAAATGTAAGGTTAGTGTTTGGCACACGAAATATTCCTTTCACATTCAATGTAATCATGGCCAATGAAAGTTAATAACCTTTCCTGCCTCTTCATCTTGTAACTTACTTGTACTTTGTATAGAAGTAAGAATACCCACCAACAAAACCATAAGGATCATCAAGCCATTTTTCATTACGTCAAAATGAGTTAAACCAGAACACACACAATTAAGTGCACTGAGATGAGTTTGGTCCCTTATATCCAAAAGTACTAAAGAAAACTTTACTTTCTCAAACATTAAAATAATATTGTAATTCTAATTTTTCCTCTGTAGTTTTTAACATAAGTATTTCATGCTAATCCCAGTGCTGTGTAATACCAAGCTGGGTTTAATTTATGTTTTAATGCGAATGTCTCTAAACTTCTTGAAAATGTCTGCTAATATTAGAACATCAATTTTAACATATAAATTGGAATATTCCTCTATGTTTTCAATTTAATTTATCCCATAATTTCTGTGCCTGGTTCATTCAGGGGTCATGATGCAAACACCAAAATCACTAGTATTATATTTTATTAAAGTGGTGATATAAATATAATACTGGTGATAAAAAGTAGTCTGCTTATTACGATATTCAGCATGAAATTGAATCTGAAAGCACACTTCAGTAAAAATAGCAGAATGTCGAGTTCCTGTGCACCACACACCTGGCAATGTAATGACAGCAGGAAAGAAAGCAAGAAGTAATACTGAGAGCCAAAAGCAGTTTTCTTGCAATGTCATCCAGCATTTCCAGAGGAGGTATTTTTTGGGGTGACATTTTTTTCACTTTGATTTTTGTTCAGTAGACTAGAGCATAAAAATTTTGACATGACAGAACCTGTGAAATAACATTTAAGCACTGTAATCAAATGTGTTATTCATATTTATTCAATAAAAAATTATTCAAAAATGATTCTATTTATAAGTGACAGCTTAACATGCTACTTTTGCTTTCCAGACTCCTAACTAATAAGGCTATCAGCACTTTCTTAATTAGTAAGCAAAATTGGTGATAACAAGTAATTTAAAGTAAGAAAAAAAAATTTATAACTGGCTAAATGTTTGGCAATTTTTTAAAATTTCCACAGCAACCCCTGCTCATTTGATATGACAGTTTCATTCAATTCACTATAAAATTCCTGCTCTGATGGTAACTGTATTTTGTCACATTTTGATTTGTTTTCCATATAATCATAGGGATAAATACCTTTTCTAATTATGAGATCTAATTTATCTTTAGGAAAATATTTCATTGTATTTTTAATTGTTCTTTTTTAGATTAGTAGATAATTTGTCTATGTAACTTGCCATAAATTTAACAGTCTACAAGTCTTAATTTTATGTTTCTAATGCCTTTGTCAAATGAAATGTATCATTCTTCATTATTTGGAATTATATCAATCTTTTTGTTATCATATCAACGTTCTTTTATAAAGAGATGCATGTCATAGCCACTTAAATTATGGATAAATACAAAAATATACGAAAAATTCAAATAATAATATGATCTACACCGATATCATAACTTTAGAATTACAATTGTTAACATCAGATGTTATGCTATGGTTGCCACATAAAGCTTTATTCAGAGCCACAAGTTCATTATAATAATATCTCAAAGTCCATCATCAGAAATAGAAATTAAGTAGTGTTTGGTAATATTAATTACGAGTAATGTTTAAAAAGGTTCTAGTGATACAATCATTGTAAATAATTGTGGTTGTATTTATAATGATCATACCACTATCAAAAGACTAAAAATGTCATCTGATGTGTCTTCAGTCTTTTGATCATATTTTAAACCAGGGATGGGCAACCTTTTTCTATGTAAGGGCCGCATTTCAAAACTTTTGGACTGACGCAGGTGGCATACAAGAGAAAAGAGGGAGGGATATGTCGATAAATCACAATTCTTTATTCATATATGATTATAAATTAGCATAAGTATACTTAATTTAACTTCTGGAACAGATGTAAATATAATATATCGAAAATATTTGATTAAATACCGTGTTTCCCCAAAAATAAGACAGTGTCTTACATTAATTTTTGCTCTGAAAAATGCACTAGGTCTTATTTTCAGGGAATGTCTTATTTTTTCCAGGAAGAAGAATTCACATTTATTATTGAACAAAAAAATTCCCAAGTCGAACTTAGACGAGAGTGACGTATATCCGGTGTGTCGAACTGTCGCCTTTTTATAGCGTCAACATCGAACTCGACGACCAATTAGTGCTTACTGAACCGTAGCACTATGCAAATGTCATGTGGCATTATTCCTGGCCGACCAATTAGCCATCATTAGCCGTAACGTTATGCAAATCTGTGATTCCCAAGCCATAGTCTTATGCAAATCATGCCGTGTGGCGTAATTGTCTGCTGACCAATCAGTGGCTGTACTTTCAAAAAGCCAACGGCCACTTTCAACCATCTGTCAATGACCGTTACGACTAAAAAAAAACTTCGCTAGGTCTTACTTTCAGGGGGAGGTCTTATATTTCGCAATTCAGCAAAATCTGTGCTAGGTCTTATTTTCTGCGGATGTCTTATTTTCGGGGAAACACGGTATTAGTCATTGCTAATTTTAAATTAGATCTGATGTGTCTGTTAGCTGGTTTCTTGTTTTACTTTTTATTAAATTTATTGCAGAAAAACTATTCACATACATAAGTTGTAGAAAATAATGTTTGAATTTTTGCTGCATACTTCCTTAAGCTGGAAAATTGATATATTTATTCATATTTTATGCAATGTGGACCGCAAAAAATTAGTGCGCACTGCCCATCCCTGCTTTAAACAATTGGAACAAGCATTCATCTCGAATGTTTTGAAACTTAAGTTGAAACCATTTAGGAAAATCTGATGAAAAAATGTGTGGCCAACCTGTAAGTTTGCTTTAATGCTCCTGTTGTAATCTTCCATAGTTTAGTTGTGATTAGTTTGTAGCGCTACGCGACTATGTATTGTTATTATATGTATGTATATATATTTTTTTATCAGGTTTTGTATCAAGTTTTTGTCATTTATGCGATGGCACGTGTGTGTGTGTGTTATGATGTCACCGCTTGGGTGGAGCTTTCCGATATGTAGCGCTACGCGACTATGGGTTGTTATTATGTGTATGTGTATAAATATATATATATATTTTTTTGTCGGGTTCCTTTTGTTTTGTATCGGGTTTTTGCCATTTATACGATGTCACGTGTGCGTGTATTATGATGNTCGAAAATTTTAAAAATCGAAATAGAAAATCTTCCACTTTCAACCACTTTCAAGCCCATATCTCCCGCACCCTTATAGCTATCGAGACGCAACCACCCCTATGCACGAATGGAGACTTGGGGCTACTACCACATACAAACACCATTGATGTGCGATGTGTAATTTTGGCTGAAAAGTGAAATATAGGGACACACGCGTCCATTTATATATATATAAGGGTTTTGTATTTAATTTCAATATATATATATATATATAGATTTATTGCCCCGTGGATTCCTATCTACGGCATACTCTACTAGTTTAATATCCAAATAAATCCGCTTGCCTTTCCCGTAACAGTAATGGCTCTCAAGTGTCCTTAAGTTATTTAAGTATGACTTCACTGAATCATGTTTTCACCAATATTTATTTCTGATGTTTGCCTTTCTGTCTGAAAATATCTGAAAACTCTTGTTATAAGAAATGCATGGTCCACATTTTGCATTCACAAAAGAGAACCAGACATTCTGATCTCCAATTTGAACAAAATTTGGTGAGCACATAGCCCTAAACACAAATAGCTCCTTGTCCAAAT